TTCATTTCAAGTTCGTGTGTTTTACTTTGGTTGACTTTTATTTTTCAATGGTCTAATTTATTAAGATCTGTAAGTATTTTAAATATGTGTATTTTCTCCAAGGAATAGGTGGCAAATTTTTTCATTCTCTAGGTTGTTTCTTTACTATGATTGCTATTTACTTTTTTGCAGAGGTTTGTTAATTTGACAGAACATAGTTTGTTGATTTGTGATGATCCTGATTCTAGATTCTTTATAATTGATTGTTGATGATTCTTGATTTCATTTCTTATGTAACTGAGATTCAGTTCACAGTGTGTGCTTTTGCATACTTTGAAATAAATATTCTCTTTCATCTTCCAGATTAATTCTTCATTTAAATATTTAGATATTTGATCCATATTAAATTCAGGTTATAAAGAATTCCAATTCTTTTATCTCTCCTCTATGAACCTAGGAGCAAAGTAGTCTTACTGTATCATTCCCTCTTTCCCTATTTCCTGTTCTGTCTTCCTTCTACTTTCGTGTACTCTCTGACCCTCTCTCCCTCTTTTGGATTATTTTGGTTTATTTTTAGTTTCTTCATATGAGAGAAACACGAAGTATTTGTTTCTTTGTCTTACTTCACTTTACATGATGCTATCCAATGCTTTAAATTATTCTATAAACTACATGATTTCTTTCTTTATGATATTTATTACTCTTTGTGTTTTTCTCAGGAGAATTCTCTAGTCATTCATCTACTGACAGTCATCTATGTTGACTCTGTACATTGACTTTTGGAATTGCACTGCCATAAATGTGGCTGTGTGATATCTCTAAAGTATACAGACCAAATTACAGGAATATAGCAATGAATGGAAGAGGAGGATCAAAGTGTAGCTCTATCTTTTAGCTCTTTTGAGGAAACTTCATGCTGATTTTCATGGAGACTTCTCATTCACAGTGCCAACAACAGAATTCAAGTGAAGTCCTTCCTGTTCCTTGACAGCATGTAGTGTTTGATGAATGTATTATTGACAGCTGTTGTGGGAAAGGCATTTTATAAATTTCATCACATTTTATCATAAGTGATGTATATAATATAATTACTAATATTACAAAGTTGAGAAAATAGAATTTTTAGTACCACCCACACTGTAATTGTCCTTTCTTAAGTATACATTACATGAATGATAGACAAATTGAAACAGAATTGACATTGATAGCAGTTAAGGTTGGATTAAACACCCTAATTTTGTGTCTAAAATTACATTATCATCTTAGATAAGATGATTGGACTAAATATGAACTCCACCAAAAAATTTCCTAATGTAGCATTATATTCTAAGGCATAGGGGTCAATGTATTTTTCCTTGGTTAAGATGAAATGAGACATGATAGATTCAAAAAATAGTATTTTGGTAAATAAACATATGTGAATTATCTTATTTTGCAATGTAATTGTGGTGGAATCACTAATGGTCAACTTGTAACACCCAGTTGAACTGAAACAGCATGATGCTGGATGTGAAAGGCCCCAAGGATTATTGTGAACATCATAGAAAAACAAAATGGAGGAGAAAGTGGTGTGCTATTGATTCTCCTGGAGAAGCTCTTTATGTTGGCTTTCTTGATAAGAAATCAGCATTTTTGATCATCAGTGGAGTTCAGGAACTTACTGTTGCTGAAAATGACTACAGTTATTTTCAGTAGTCCTTACTTTGGAGCATGTCTTCCTGGTTCCAGTGTAGGTCCCATGGCATAGTGGCACAGATCCTTCCTCCCACTGTCACAGACTTACAATCTTAAAACACTGAACTTTGGACCACCCTAGTATAGATCCTTGATACAGATTTCATATGAGACATTGTCTTGGTTTCATGTCCTCCAGATGGACACATGTATGACATTGTCATGGGCTCTTGGTCTTCAGATGGATCTTTGCCGGGCATTGACATGGGATCCAGGTCCTCAGCTGCATTCTTTGGGTCTCTAGTGTGCATAAAATTCAGCTTCTCCTTTTTGCATTTGGTAAGTATTTTAAAACAATCCTATAAATTATGTGTACGGTCTTAAGACTTTTCCCTTATAAAACCATGAATACAACAGTAATCAAATGTGTAACATAAGGAATTCTAAAGTGTTTTAAACTATATAACAAATAATACGAAGCAAATTTAGATTTCTCAAGATAACGTAGAATATTATGTTTGGTAAATATATGAAAATGTCTTCTATATTAAATTTTATGTATCAAATATGATTCTTAAAGCCACACTTTGCTTTATGAGTTGCCTATAAATTAAAATACTAACATAAATGATGCTGGAAGTACAACGACATATTTGCCTGTAAAACTTTTACAATTTATGTGACATAGAATAGTTTTAATGAGAATTATTGTGGAAAAACTTTGTGTGTATTGTAATCTCTAGAGAAAATTCTAAAAAATAGAGTAACTCTAGAGCTACTGTGTTTATTTTCAAACCTTTGACTCACTTTAACAAAATATGAGGTTTTTAAATTATTAGTAATAGAATATCAAAGATATTGCATTTTAACTAAAATTTTGTGTTAATTTTCACACTACATTCAGAATGTGTTTTCCCAAAAATGTGTGATAGAAATTGTAAAAGTTCAATGGAAAGTGTAAAAAGCTGATCTAGGGCAACCATTCCTGAGTCCCCCACCCCCCGAGATCCTAGAAATGTGTTCACATCAAATTAAAAAGCTTTTGTACAGAAAATAGAACAACTAAAGAGTGCAGAAATAATATATACTTGAGAAAGATTCATGCTAGCCATTGCACAGGCAGAGAATATTAAAAATTAATATTAAGAGCTAATATTAATGATTAAAAAGAGTAAATCATCAAATTGAATGATTCAGTAGTATTGGGCAAATGTGTAGACACTTCTCAGAAAAGGATTTTCAAAAGGTCAAAAAAAAAAAAAAACATGATAATATGCTCATCATCCCTGACCCAAAAGTCATTTAATGATAACAAAGTGAGAATAAGAGAGGAAAACAAAATCTCCACATTGCTTGTGGGAACAAAACCTATTATAGTTATTGTGGAAATCCTTGTAGAGACACTGAATAATCTAAAAGTAGAATTTCTCACAGATTTATCTATTCCCTTTCTAAGTATCTTAGGAAAAGAGTAAAAATCAGTGTATCACAGGAAAACATGCATATCCCTGTGTATAGTAGCAGAATATAAAATGAGTAGATTATAAACACTGTCTACATGTATCAAAATTATAAGGAAATTGTTGAAGTTTTACACAGTGGAGTACAATGCTATCATTAAAAATTGGGAAGCATTCTTTGGTAAACAAACATATTTTGAGAAATAATATTAATTTATATAAAGTGGACACACATGCACAAATAACCCATTGTTTTTCTTGTATGAGAAAAACTTTATAAACATAAGAAGCAAAATAAAAAGAGATAAAAGTATTTAGTGAAAATTAACCATATCTCCCCAACTTACAAATTTCATTGTTTTAAAAGTATTGCACTATATGTAAACGAGATGTTTCCCTATACATTATTACATCTTACTTTGTTGAAAAAAGATTTATGTTTATTTTCTTTTTTATATCAATAATATTTGGATAAAAGAGTTTCATTTTATATATGTGTTGTATAACACTTTTATTAAGTAAACCTTTCTTATTTTCACTTTCACCTGTTGATTTCCTGTATAACTATAAGCTCAAATAGTACAAATTCTAAAAAAAAAATTTTGGTTGCTACAAAAATGAAAGCAAGAAGAAATACACTATGGAAACAATATGGAATTTTCATATGTGAGTTTGATTTATTTCATTTATGAATTTGGTCTCAATAGTTGCATCCATTTACCTATATATGCCTCAATGTGTTACTCCTTTATAGCTGAGTAAGAAACTGAAAGAGTAAATAAGATACAAAATCTTCAAAAGTATTGTAAAAGGGTAATAAACTGCTCAAAAAAATCTCAGAGAAAAGGAGAAAAGAACAAAAGATAAAAAAAATACTTCAATATGTATATATACACTTACGATAGCTAAGATGATTGTACTAATAATTCTATTAGTTCTTGGAACAAAGCAGTTAACATTTATAGGACTGTGTCAATTATGTATGTTGGTATCTGGTAATCTGAGTATTTATTTTGAATATAACTATGCAAAATAACAACTTTAGTTTTGTTCCTGCCACCTTGTTTTGAAAGCCTATGTTGTTATTATTTGGAGCACTTTGTTGTTATTTATTTGTCTCTTTTGTTTCTTGTTTTTCTTATATTTTTCCCCTCTAATACAATAAGGATTGGTGTACGTGTATAGGCTTATACATGCCGAGAACTTCTAAAGAGTTTATAAGAATTGATTTTATTATCTGTGATGGTATGAACAGCTTTGAGACATTGTTATAGCCATTGTTGATTTTCTATTCAATAACACCTTTCTCCTTTGTTTTGATAGGTTTTAGTTTATTTGATGTCAATATGTGTGAAGATGTGTCAGCTATTTTGAAGGGAGCAAGAGACATTATAGTAGCCATTGTTGATTTTCCTATTGTCTGGTTTTCAAGACTTATAATGATTTCATTCTTTGGTTTGCATCATTATTGTGCTATTTTGTTTTGCTTGAATTCATTGTATGTGAAGATATAGACAACTATTTGAAGAGAGCAAGAGGTATTAAGGTAGCTGCTGTTAATTTCCTGTTGTCTTGTTTTAAAGCCCTGTGTTGCTTGCATTGTTTTGTTCTGATTGGTTTTGTTCTGTTTTATTTTATTCACTTTAAAATAAAAATAAAAGAATCAAAAAAAGAAGAAAAAATGGCAATGAGAGCAAGTAAGTACAAGACTAAAATACAAGTTGAAATACCAAAATTGATCTTTCCTAAACACGTTCTCCTTATTTTTTGGATATCTAGGGATTCAGATTCCTAGTAGTTTTATAACCTAAACTACTGGACAGCTTGTATGAAAAGCATATCAAATAATGCTTAGGTAATTATTTTCAATTGAAATAATAATTACATATTGCTTCCCAGCCTTTTGGCAAAGATCAAGTGTAGTATCTGTTCTTATCAGTTTAGTATCTGATGTGTCCTCTATTTGATGACAATATAGTAAATGGATTTTTGGAGCCGGGTGATGGACTAGGAGCTTTCTCTTTCCACTCCAGACATCAACCTGGTACTGACGTTATACCAGGGATGGTGCAACAACAGCAACAACAGCAACAGCAACCACAGAGGAAAAGAAATGTTTTGATTATCATGGAATTTAAAAATTAAGAATATTAATGATTTTGGAAATTAATTGAAAAGACGAAAAAAAACCTTCATTCTTGACACTTGATATTAAATTCTGATCAGATGATCTAAATGAATTGTCACTGTTAAACTTCATTTATATACAGAAAAGTTTTCATTGTAATGACTTCACATACTTCACTCATATTCTTTAATGATGTAATATAGTTTACAATACGCTTGGTGTGTCCTTAGTAAGTGTATTTTCTGTAAAAAAGACACAAAATACTTATACATCTTTTAGCTCTTCTCTGCATATATAACATAATGATTTTTACTTATTTTTGTGCACAGTTTTTCTACATTCAAGTGAAGCTACGATAAAGGTAAATTCTTTTTCTGCTGCTTTACCAGTAAATGTAGCTCATAATTCAACATATATTTCTCAAAAACTGCTCATTTCTGGAAGAAAAATCCTACTTTTTAGCTATCAAATGAACTTATAAGATATTGAGTATAAATTGACTTACAGAAAGTAGAAAAGCAGTGTTACATCATATATTATGGTAATAATGTTGCTGTTACACTCAAGTTGTTAAAAGATAACAGCTTACCATTTTTAAAATCTGATAGTACTCTGTAACCAGCCTATGGCCAATTCTGTGAGCTCAGAGGATCTGAGAAACACCAGTTCTGCCCTTCAGTGATGCAGAAGCCTGCCTGAGACCTGTGACAGTGCCTGCAGAATTGGAGAAATGTGTATCCTAACTCTATTATGGGGGTTGTCAATAACACAAAGAAATAGACTCTACAACCAACAGACTTACCTGACTGAAAATCAGAACAAAATCCAGGAGATGACTCTTGTTTGTTTCAGGACTGAAGTGATACTACTCACAGATACTGGATGACAGTGTGTCATCAAAGATAAGCTTTAAGGAAAGTTGAGCTAAGTAGGGATATACTTGAATCTTCTTGGAATCCTAAACTTGTTTAGTAAAGTTTGCACACCTATATTCTGTTGTAGAGGCCAAGATTGGTGGGAGAAATCACCAGAAGGAGCAATCCTAAAAAGAAGGCATTTAACCTCGTGATATGATTGAATATTGGCAACATCCAGCAGAAATCAGTGTTTTGGATTGTTATACACCCTTCTGAGAGCCTGATTATTTGCACAAAATCAAAGTTCTCTTTATTTTGTCAAAAGATTGTCCATGCATGTTCCCTAGCTTTTTGTCAATATTCATATGCCATTTAATGTCACTATTGTCACTGAATTTAGTACTATAGAAAATAGCCTAGTAAAAGTTACTGTAATCCCAAATACTGGGGATAGTTATCCAAGTATTGTAATGCCTTTTCAGCCATCCTCATGATACAAAAAAGTTATATTTATAATCTCAGGGTTGTTATTATACCAGCAAGCAAATTCCAATTACCATCTCCAACGCAACCCATAGCCAGAGTAAAGACAACAAGACATATTCCACGTTATGTGCAGCCAAGGGGTCCTAGGTCCAATCCCCTTGAGCATGTGCAGACAAAGCCCTTGATCTTAGGTCTTTCTCAGAATTTATTATCTTGTAAAGGGATGATTTGAGGATGAGTGAAATGATGATGGCAGAAATTACATGAGTAACTTGAGATGGCTACTCAGGTAGTGAGAAAAGTATGTCTGAAAAATGCGTGGATAGCAATATGCAGAAGGATAAATTTGAATAATTCAATTAAGGTAGCAACTGAACTGTTTTTGGAATCTATTGCTTCAGTTTCTAAAGTTTAAACTTTTTTACCCTAGGGAGTCATAGCCTCTTTGCCTTGAGGCTCATATGTGGTTTAACTTCCTGGAGCTGACTGGATCCAACGTTCTGCCATACATCTTTTACAGAGAGGACTATGTGAAGAAACAGGAGACTGCCTAGTGGCTTTAGAGATTACATGCCACTACCTTGGCTAGCATTATTTGCAATGTTTCGAGCCAATTAAAGCAGAAGTTAATACCATAGTCAGCTCTGTACATATCAGTATAAGGAAGTAAATTTCAATATAATCAAAGTTGCATAATTGTTCTGCATTCAAGGGGAGTCACTCAAATCACCTTCCATTGGAAGGCAATTGACTTATCTGTATGCCAATACTTGGGTTGTCTGAGAATTCAAAAATAACACATTACTTGCTTTTAGTGGAAAGATCAACTGATCAAAGAATTTGAAAACAAGATGGTGAAACAGTAAGCAGCAGAGTAAAAAGTCTCTCTGAGAGATACAGCATAGATTCTGGAATATAACATTGTAGGGATACAAGAAGAAAGGAAGTGGTTGCTCTACACCCAGGAAAAATCTAGAAGGAGAACTGAAGCTCATAGAAAGAGTAAAAAGAAAAACTTAAAGAAAGAAAGTGGTGGTAGGTTGTGGTGCCTTTGCACAGAAACAGACCCACTGTGTGACAGGAGCTGTTGGAACCTGGGGATTTATGGTCATGTTGATGGTGGTGGCTCTGCAAAGATATGTGATGGCAGAGAAGAGCTGTAGCTGCAGAGGACTGCACTGGCTGGCATTGGGTGCACAGGCCGCAGTCTTCCAATGAGAAACAGTAACTGGCCAGGAGCCACTTTGGAGTTGGTTGGATAAGCCTGAACCCAAACCTGATGCCAGCTTCTTCCAGCAGCTCCTAACTTGCTATAATGGGTGGAAATTGCTCAGGCTGAGCCTCACCTCAGTGTGCATTCTGGTGGCCATTGCAGAAATTTCCCAGCAAGCAAGCTCAGTGTGGAGGCAATGGCTGACTCTGCCACCATGGACAATGCAGCCACCATCATGGGGACTCTCTGCCAGTGACCATTCCATGGGTGGTGGCCAGCCCCACCCCCATGCACACTCCACAAGCAGGGAGCCAGTGAAGGCTGAGAAAAACAACAGACATCCCCAAATCAGTATACTCAGTGGCCACCATGAGATATATTTATCCAGCCCTGGCTAGAAGAACCAAACACTTTGACTTCAGAGAAATTGTAACCAATAAGTGAAGTGTCTGAAATTCCACTACCCACTTGTCCAGAAGAACACAGAAATATGTCAAGATAGAAGTAAAAGGTGAACTCTGGCCTCCAACACAAGCAGAGCAAGTTCAGGAATTTTAAACATGCAAGAGAACAGGATTGCACATCTGAAATTTCTGAAGTGATGGCAACTGAACTTCATGAGAGTATAAAAAAAATTAGAACATAAATACTCTCAAATGAAAGACAAAATCAAAAACATAATAAAAGAATTGCTAAGCACTTCTAAAGAAGACATAGATAAAAAATGGAGGAGCACAGGAATGAGAGAAATCTTGAAAGAACAATATAAAAAAGATTGAGAATACATGGGACAGATTCAAAGAGATACCCAAGAAATTAAAAACTCCATTGAAAGCTAGCAAAACCACTTGAAATAAACTGAAGATATACTCTGAAGACAGGTTTGCAGCTTGTGGTTGCAAAAGGAAATATGTCTTAAAAATAACAAGGAACCAGCAAGTAAAAATTCAGTGGCTGAAATACAACCCAAAGAAACATAACTTAAGAATAATAGGTATGAGTGAAAAAACAGGAGGCAATACAAATGACATTATAAATGTATTTACAGAAATAATATCAAGAAACTTCCCAAATGTGGGCAAGGAAATGAGGCAGCTAGCCATAAACAAAATAAATCTACACTCAAAAATATAATGATCAAGATCACAGAAATTCAGCACAGGGATATAATATTAAAAGCTGTTAGAGGAAAAAATAGATCACTTATAAAGAAAAACTCGTGAGCATCATGACAGATTTCTTAATCAAGTCAAGAAGAGCTTGAAGTGAAATATTTCAAGTCTTAAAAGAAAACAACTTTCAACCCAGATTGATGTACCCTGCAAAACTATCTTTCAGAATTAATGGAGAAAAAAAATACTTCCATGATAAAGAACAACTGAAAGAATTCATGACCACTAAACCAGCCCTACAAAGAATACTGAAGGAAATTCTAGGAAGAGATAAAAAAAATACCATGGTTTCATGAACAGCAGCAGAGGGAGATCACCAAGGTAAGCATACACATAAATGGAGGGGAAAAAGTAGGCAGCCAGTGGCAGGAAAATAGCATGGCAGGGGTGAGGCAGTACATGTTAGCCATAACCATTAATATAGATGACCTCAATTTACCAATAAAAAGAAACATATAGTGGATCAGGATATAGGATCTATCAAGATGCTTTATTAAAGAAGCACATTTAACTCAAAGGGGAGTTCTTTGTGTCAAAGGAGAGAGAACAATGCTATATGTGACAGACAACTGGAAAGAAGTAGGGGTAGCTTTCCCATCAGGTGCAGATTGGACAAGAAAACATGACATTTTTATACAATGAGAAGTTACTCATCTATAACCTCAATGCTCTCATCTATAATCATCTATAATCCTCAATTTAGGTAAATGGATATAACTTGAGATCATGCTCATGGATGAAACGATCAGAGTCACATGAGTGACTATTGTGTTATCTCCCTAGTATAAAAAGCAAAAGGAGCTAGTGGGATCCAAAGTGCACAATACATATTGTGAAAGTGAAAAGGGAGGAGGTGTCTTAAAAAGGGAAGGCAATGACCATTGTTAATCGAATATTGTGATCTGAATCCTGTACTGTTTTCACCATGCTGTTTAGATTGGTTTTCTTCTGTTTAAGTTTGAATATATTTATAATATTTGGTGCCATGGATAGCCATTTCAAAGATGAATAATATATTATGGTAGTATTAGTGATTTTCCTATTATCTTGTTTTGGAGCTCTGCATTTCTATTTTTTATTGATTTATTCTGTTGTATTTTGATTGTATTATGTCTGATGATTTAGGCAACTACTTTGAAGATAACAAAAGGCAAGGTAGCCACTGCTATTTTATTATTGTTTTGAAGTCTTGTATTGCTTCCATTATTTTGCTTTTATTTGT